TGCTTCCAAGATACCTGTTTGTTTATATTTGTTCAATATTGCCCAAACTGCTTTACTCTTCAGCTTCAAATTTTTGGCAATGTCGACTTGACGTTGACCATCCTTGTATAACTCAATGATCTTAGTTTTCACATCGAAAGAAATTTCTGAACCATGCGGCATGGTCTTAAAATCACTCAACTTATTCCACAATACCTGATGAACACAAACTAATCCTCTTCTGACACGAAACTGTACTAAACTAATGTTGAAAAGAATTTGCCTACATATTTTTGTCCCTCATAAAACAGTGCTTATATTCAGACTTGTATTGTGTTCATTGCAGATAATTTAAAAACAAGGAATTTAGGTTTTCTACTAATAACGCACTTGTTTATGGAGCAATGAAATATGAATTCGTTTTCTAAAGGTAATTAGGTAAATATTCATATTTGTCTACATACTTTTGACCATTACTGTATATTAGGTACAGTTGAAGCGGTTTTATTAAAATTTTGACGATACACCTAGGAGTAACGTGAAACTAGACGAACGATTAAAAAACTCAAAGCCGGGCTTGATTTTTTCAAATTCATGTTTTTATCAAAATCAACGCCTTTTAAGCTTTACGTTACTTCTAGGCAACATTGTAATTGCTCAAAATATCAACAAAATCCGTGATATACGCGATACCCTGTATATCCGTATAACCTGAATTCAAAACTTTGTTATCTGTAGATATGAAAAAGTCTCATACTATCTATCATATCACTATGTCCATCTAAGTACCGGAAACATGTAAACCATTTTCAAGATTGCAATAAAGCTGGAACACGAAAAAAAGATAAGATAAGCGTTGACTGATGTATTTTCTAAAAATATTTTTTGAAAAACGTAGATATATAGTAAAATTCTGATGTACCCCAATGCTCATAATTTCTGCTTGAAGCTTCGCAGCAGCAAATAAAAAATAAAATCTGTTTCACGCTAACACGAGCTTAATCCTAGTAGATTAACTTTTATTTTCCACCCCGAAATTCCTCATGTATGTACACATGTACGTATATTTATCGCGCTCCTCGCTGAATTTAAATTCGCTCAGCATGTCTGAACTTCCGCCGTTCCATTTCGTCTACATATGTCACAGTTGTTTTTTTAACAAATTATATAGACAACAAACAGCAAGACCACTGCGCAGTTACCGCAGGATTTAGAAGTCGTATTTTTATAGCAACGTTTACACATCGACTGATTGAAACTCTTATTAATTAATCCTCCATGTTTGTCTGACCAATAAACACTCCGCTATCTCAAACTATTGTGTCTTATTTCCTCATAAGACAAACAACATCGTTCTCTTTAGATGTCGAAGTATTTCTCGCACTTCAGGACCATAAACAATGCACATGCATTTGCAGTCGAAAATTGGTGGGTTTTCACGTTTTCGGAACACTCATGGCGATTTCGGGACGATGGACGAGGGTGACGTGTCTGGTACATTAAAACATTAAAATAATGACATAACCGCTCGCTGGTCGTTTTGGTGGGGGGGTGGGGGGTAGATGTCCTTTTGGAAGCAGTCAGTCCTGGGGTTTTCAAATGTGGTTTGTTTATAAACTAGATTAACCTAAACACCACCCGGCGCCTGATTTGGATAATGACTCACATAGTCATAGTACCTCAAGACATCATTTCCTTTAATATCTTGATAATCTTAGGGCATTCCCAGGACTGCCTGGGGTTTTCAAATGTGGTTTGTTTATAAACTAGATTAACCTAAACACCACCCGGCGCCTGATTTGGATAATGACTCACATAGTCATAGTACCTCAAGACATCATTTCCTTTAATATCTTGATAATCTTAGGGCATTGGTATACAAGGAAAACCAATTTTTTCTGAAGGCTTGAGTTCAATGTGTACGAGAGAGAAGAGTGAGAAGTATGTATCAGCACATGTTGTAATTTATGTACTATTTTGTTTTAATTTTGATTAGAATTATTTATTTCAATTTTGGAATTATCTTTGATTTCCACCGTTAGTGATAAAATCAACACATCCTGAGTTATTGTTACATTTCGCGACAGCGGTCGGAAAATGTAACAAATGCAAAATCATCACAGCCTGCGGGCACGCAGGTGAAAACAATTTCCAAAATCGCTCAGCTATGATCATAGAGGTGGAAACCTTGCCTTGGAATGTACGAGATGCGGTGTTGCCAAGCGATCCAATGATGCAATGTTGCAGAATTTGTGGCGATCATGACCTTTTATTTCGATCTAAAATGGAATCGATCGTATCCAGATTCGACACAATTCACAATTCAAAAATGAGTATGCTAACATAAAACAATTATTTGCGCGTAGAGAATAAATTAACGCATATTTTCAACATCTTAATTCAAGGAATTAGTGAAACATATTGGCCACGTGGCAGAGTGCCGCATCAGCGTTACTAGGCAACGCGGTGATGGGCTTCGATATATAGCCGGCTTCTATCTCTATCTAACATATACTAAGTGACATATAAATCCGAACACCCAGTTTAAATGGTTTTATTTTAATAAAAGTTGGTGAATGTATTTATCTTACTGTAAATAACAAGTGAAAAAATGTTCAGCCTTATCAGTTGGACATTCCGGTTTTTATATAGCTTTTTTTTAATTCACTAACGCTCTAAAAATGAATATTTCAGCCGCAGTAAAGAATCAACGTTGGCGGATTTTGGTTCTTGACATCCTTTACGATCGTTTACGATGCCTAGAGTACGGAGACCTGTACGATTTCGTCAACTTAGTGAGTTTGATAGGGGCCGTATAGTGGGACTTCGGGAAGCTGGACTTTCTTTTCGGGCAGTTGCAGTTAGAGTGCAAATAAGTGTAGACACTGTTGTTAGGTGTTGTCAGGCATGGCTTCGAGAAGGCCGTACGCAAAGAGCAAGGGGCACTGGACGCCGCCGTAGAACAACAGACCGTGAAGATCGCCGCCTAAGATTATTGGCCTTAAGGGACCGTTTCTCCACTACCAGGTCTATTGCAAATGAATGGTTTGCAGAACACGGAAGACCTATTGGCATGCGAAGTGTTTACCGACGAATGAGAAGTTTTGGCTTGTTTTCATACTGGCCACACTGGGTCCTCCCTTTAACTCGAGAACACCGACGTAATCGCCTTGAGTGGAGCAGACAACGGTCACTCTGGGATCAGGAATGGAACAGTATTGTCTTTAGTGACGAGTCTCGATTTTGTTTAGGCATGCACGATGGTCGTGCCAGGGTTAGAAGGCGACGTGGTGAAAGGAGGAATCCACAGTTTTTTGTTGAAAGACATGTTCATCACACTGTTGGAGTTATGGTTTGGGGTGCTATAGCTTATGGTTCCAGGTCACCTTTAATCTTCATAACATGAACGCGCAGCGTTATATCCACGAAGTTCTAGAACCCCATCTTTTACCCTATCTTGACACCCTGCCAGATCCAACTTTCCAACAAGATAATGTCCGACCACATGTTGCAAGAGTCACAATAGACTTCTTTCAACATAATGATGTCACATTGTTACCATGGCCACCAAGATCTCCCGACTTATCCCCAATTGAGCACGTGTGGGATATGATGGGTAGGAGATTGCTCAATTTGCAACGTCGTCCTCAGACTCTAGAAGCACTTCGAGAGGAGGTGGTGGTTGCCTGGAATGAGATACCACAGGAGGACATTGACCACCTGATCAAAAGCATGCCTAGGCGCGTTAGAGAATGCGTAGCACATCAGGGTGCATCCACACATTATTAAAGGTCAAAGGGCTTTAAAGCAGTGCAATCATTTTGAAATTTTTATCATTTACCTATTATGCTTCATTAAGTACTTATACAAAATTTTATTAAAATAAAACCATTTAAACTGGGTGTTCGGATTTATATGTCACTTAGTATATGTGTCTATACAAACTTCTCTCTCGTACACATTGAACTCAAGCCGGCAGACAAATTTGGTTCTCAGTGTATGTGTTACTGGGAAAACGCATCCACCTTTAATGAAGCGTCTTCAGTGAAAAAAGCATGTTAAAAAATCGACTGGTTTTTGATATGATCGATTAAAATTTCAATTTCTTCTATTTTTGGTCAGCAACCCGCACCCGACACCTTAAAAATTATGAATGAATTATCGCCCGTCTCTTGTCACGTAAAACTTCGGAATATAAAGGCTGGCTTAAGAAGAGCGAACACGAAGAGAATTTTTCCCTACAGCCATTATAACTCTCCAGGTAAAATTCATATTTTCTCCCAACACCCTATGTAGTGTTTACTACCGATGCATACAAGAATTTTACATAAAGCTTCCAGAAAGGGCTTTGCATAATGGAGAAATAACGGAATATTGAATTGGTTTGCACTTTATTCGGTATAAATTTGTGTTATTTCAGCGCTGCTTTACTTTTAAATAACTTTCTGAGCATATTCTGAACAATTCATATTAAACAGATACATGCCATTTCATGAATGAGGGTGATGACATTTTGAATAAATTGGTATCACAAATAGGTGAGATGTTTTCAACAACAAAATTCTGTCACGGAAGTTATAACAGTTTCATATGATTTGGAATTTGTTTGGTTGACAGTTATAGTCTAGTCATATTAGACGAAAATACCCCTGGTTTGCGAAATAATTGTAAAGTCTGATTTTATTGATGCAAGACGTTCAATGGGGTATCTAAAACATGGACGCATAAAATGGGAAATGTGGGAAAACTTTTTATTCGACAACAAAGAATGAGAAAACGTGTTTTTTGGGATTCAATCGAAAGTGTTGACAGGAACGAAAAATCTCTTCAACTAAGATTTTTTGGAATTTATGAGACCTACATAATGAGACTACACGTAAAAAGATTCCACTAACAGTAAAAAAAGTTACAGTATAAAATTTTACATATTTGTTATCGGTATGTCGGGATACACTTTCGAGTGAAGTGTCAAGAAATTAATTAAACATTACAGTTAATGATAAAACTTCCAAGTCACTTACCTGTATATTAAGCTCTAAATTTTTCCATTGACAAAACCTAGTATATTTTTCACTGAAACAAAATGAATAATTAGAAAAATCGCAAAATTAAGAAGATGAAAACTCGATACGACTTTAAAAGCGTAATTAAAAAAGTAATAATGTCCTAGATTTCAACTAATGAAAGCACCAAAAATATTGCGTTGCTTTCAATTCTGAGCAAGTCCAGGGTTTGAGATTAAAATTTATGAAGACAGAACATTTCTTATGGATGGCATGAAATATAGCAGTGCTAAGAGTATGTACAAAAAAAAATATTCATACAAAGAGCAGATCAGCATCCAGAAATGTTTAAAAAAATTTGATATTTAGGTACAATAGTCAGCTTGTAAAGTTGCTTTCGAAAATCTCGATTGTTTTCTGATGTCGGTTTTTTCTGTAGGGAAACTTTTGATTAATGTTTTCTTCTTGAAAATAGACAGCCATAAGCTGTATTCCGCCGACCAAAATCTGGAACATCCTAATGTCATTTTGATACAAGGTGGCAAAGTTTTCAAAAATAAATCATTTATTATCAAGAACTGTAACATCATTTTAGATATTCCAATGAAATTTGGCATGGACGTCCTATCTAACAAGAGGCACCTTATAACCTTTTTTTTTAATTACCACTAGTGCCATTAGTACCGAATTTCACCTACCTATTTTGGCAGACATTGATCGTGCGACACTAATCTCTCATCAAATTAAAATTTTTTCCTGAAATACTCGGTCATTTCTAAGCAAATTTTATCCTTGATTTTGTACAATTCCATTCCACTTAAAAAATAAAAAACGTTACTTTGTATGATCATATCAATATCGTTAATATGACAATATCATCATCCAGAGAAATAGATTTCATTTTTTTTTTTATAAAAGCCGTGCGTCCAACATCTAAGAGATCAAATCTTCCCATAAATTAATACAAATTTTATTTTTTTCATTTTAAAAAGTGTGAAATGGTTTACTTTTGAAAACTTTACTACCCTGTAACCAAAAATTTAAGACGTTCTGGAAATACGCTCAAGTGCAGTTTTCTTCTTAAAATGGACTCAAATATTCACGTTTAACTAGGAAACACCCTGTATATGGTTGGCTATCTACAACGAGAATACGTTCTGGAAATACGCTCAAGTGCAGTTTTCTTCTTAAAATGGACTCAAATATTCACGTTTAAGTAGGAAACACCCTGAATATGGTTGGCTATCTACAGCGAGAATACGTTGATTCCCACAATTTTGTCAAGCTTCATTGGAATATCATAACTCAAATAGCCACAGATTATTTTAATACTTATCCGCCTATACTCGTACATAAGGATAAGTGAAAAACGAGAGGATTGAATTTCCCTTTATCCCTTAAAACTGAGTTATGGTTGATTGGATGGAATCTTGTTTGGCGGAAGCCAAAGTCGAGTAATCAACGCTATAAGTAACGGGAAATGGAAGATTACTCGAGAAAAACTCATCAGACTTTTTTAAAAGCATGTGAAAAAGCTTTTTAACTCATTTTAGTCTGCAACGTAAAACTAATGGAAAGAACTTTTCGCTCGCCATTTATAGGAAAACTCAAGCCTTTCATAAAAACTATTTTCACTATACAAGATGACATTTTTTAGATATACAGAATGCTACCACCAACGTTACACAACTGAAGCATCATTTTGAGTGTAAATGTTCGTGGTAAAATACTGTATAAAATAATACAGGGTGCGTCATCTATTACTTTTGTTTCTACTTGAAAAATCAATACGCTTTTTACGAGGTGAAATCGAATTTTTTTATCGATAAATGAAGGTTGGTTTATGCCATTTATGTATGAAAAATAACAGTCATGTGACCACTCGACTTCGTTTACAGGCGAACATCCGAACATCAAAATTTTCAATGATTTTTCCCAGAATAATCGGGTCTATGACCGCAATTTCAGTCCGAATATTGTGCGACCATTCGCATACACTTTTCCTTTAAAAAATCCCTCAAAAAAATAGTCAAGAGGTGTTAAATCGCACGATCTCGGGGGCCAACTGATATCTGTATTTCGTGAAATTTCGTGTGCAATAAGGCGACTGTTTGGCGAGATGTGTGAGCCGTTGCTCCATCTTGATGAAACCAAAGATCTTCGGCACCAATACGATCTAATTGTAGCCACAAAAAGTCTGTGAACATGCCGCAATAACGTTCCCCGTTGACGGTAATGGCCTTTTCTTCGGCATCTTCAAAGAAGAATGGTCCAACGATGCCACCAGCCCATAATCCGCACCGAACACTTTTTCAGGATGGAGAGGATGTTCTCGATATTGGTGTGGATTTTCAGCCTCCCAGAATCTGCAATTTTGCTTATTTACGTACCCATTGAGGTGAAAATGAGCCTCATCAGAAAAGACCACTTTGGCCGAAAATCCGTCTTCTCTTTCCAGCATCCAATTAACAAAAACACGCCGCTGTTGATGGTCTGCCGGCTTCAATTCTTGTGTTAATTGGATTTTGTATGGATGGAGGTGTAAATCAATGTGTAAAATCCGGCGTAAAGTGGTCTCACTAATTCCCAATTGTTGCGAACGGTGCCTAGTCGAGGTGGTTGGATCTTCTCGCACACTTTCACTCACTGCGGCTATGTTTTCGCGAGTACGAGCTGGACGAGCATGTTGGTATGGTCTACAACCTTCAACTGAACCAGTTTCCTTAAAACTATTAACAATCCAACGAATTCCAGGGTCTATACGGCGTCCATATTTTTTATATTTCGACCGTTTTCGTAATGAGTTTGGATAACCAAAATGCGTTGTTCTGTTGTAAACGGATCCATGACTATAAATGGCATACCTTTAACAGTTCATTTATGCACACCACATGACTTTTGACGCACATGGTAACACATAAACTTAAAGGTAAAAAAAATAGATGGCGCACCCAGTATAAGCATGGGATTATTTTCAAAATTGCAAGGTATTAAAACGGTACCTGGCCAAACTTTAAAAACAGATTTTTTATACCGCGTAAGCAGAAGCCTATATGCCAGGGCATCGCAGCTGCTATGAAGCGCTTAAATAAACTCGTTAATCTGATTTTTGAACTGCCTAAGGTTAGTAAAACTGGGAAAAGCCTCCTGATGTAAATTGTTCAAAATCTCGATACCCTAGGGCAAAGGAGCGATCGTATCAGCCAGTTCGGGGTGTACGAAGTTCGAAACATGTGAGCAGTAATCGAGGCCGATATGAACGGCTCTTTGGTAAAACTTGGCCATTCATCGAAACCCGATGATCGCTACGACGCTTTTTGTTCGTCAAGGTACAGTACTATGATAACCTCCACATCTCTCGTCAGAGCTAGACTTCTTTTCTCCAGTCAGAGATCGGCTTGTCACTCTGAAGTCCTGCATTCTAAGAAAAGTTCGTGGAAAAGGCCCGGAAATATGATGTCAAACTTAGAAACATAGCTTTTTTCATAAAAATCTTAATGGCCCTTCAGCGATTTTGCTAAAATTTGCAGAACGGATCGAGGATCCATAAAAGAGTTTTTTGGCCCTCAGACAACAATCAAGTATTGAAACAAAAAGGGAAATGATGATGGAGGTTTAAAATACGTATGAAAGATTCTAAACCAAAAATTCCGAAAATTCGATCAACAGCAGTGTCGCCGGTAAATTACATTAAATCGATTGAGACTTCAGCTTGAGCCCCCAAAGAAAAAAAATATTGTTTTAAATATCGCTGGATGACCAGGACAAACTGTGAATTTAAGGTTTCAATTCAATGATTTTATTTAGATTTTCTGAATCTGTTAAATTTCATCAACGGATACCGGAATGAGCTCGAAGGTAAATATGATTTTTTCAGAATAAACTGATTTTTAAAAAGATTGGCCAGGTACTTTATCAACATCCAGTATACCAAAAATAGGTGTCAGTATTACCTGTAACTAGGTATTTTTGAAAACAAAACATGAGGCACAAGCAACTGCTTCTTGCAATAATTGAGAAATCAGTTGCCATGTACATATAAAAAATGCCAAGGAAATTGAGTAGCACCAAAACTTCTCCGTCTAACGCAAATCTACGCTACTTCAAATTATATTAAACGTACAAGGCAGCTGATTTGTGAAAGAAAGAACTGAAAACATAAATAGAACCAATACTAACATGTTATCTCACCTTTCTAAAAATTTCTTAAATGGTTCTTCCCTTAAATGATTATAAATTTCTTCTATATAAGGCTGAAACAAAAGAAATGAGGGTTAAACAAACAGTAAATGTCTTCTGCGTCAAGGAATAAAATTATAGATGATGATAAATTGATCACAAAAATTTGCGAAATAAAATTACGCCCAAATATTATTAAAATTTTGTAAAACATAGCAAAACAAATTTTGGGCACACTCCAAGCGGACAGAATAAAGAATAAACCTGGCAAAAATTGAAAAAACAAAAGTACCTTCGCCATGGCTTTTATTTACTTGGATGAATATAACGGCAAAATTGAAGTGTTTCTGTATCAACCGTTGTGTTGTGTGTGTTTGAAAATATTTGAACATCTGGATATAATAATAATAATAATGTTTATTGTCACAAAATACAGGTAAATATCAAATATTGTGCACAATAAACATAAAGCACCCAAAAAAGTTTGCACTTGTGTTTGGTTTGTTAAAAATAAAAACTAATAGTACAGTCAGTGTATTAAAAAAAATACGTTAGTATTATATAGGGTGTTTCAGTTTATTGTTGCATAACTTTAAGATTCGATAGAACTTTTAAAATTAATGCATAAAGTCTATATAAACATAGGTCGAAAAATGCGTGGCTTCCGAAATACAGGGTGTTTAGATTTACGTTCTAAAATAGTTTTTTTTAAATATTTCGAACAATATTTGATGTATAACAGTGAAAATTGGTATACAAGGTTTTTTTTTGGTACGACAAAACGAACCATGGGCATAGTTTTACTATAGCCGCTAGAGGGCGCTCTCTACTGTACCTGTAGTGTATTAAAATGACCGAAAATTTTTTCTTAGTGCAATTTTTTGCTTTTTGAAAAAAAAAACCGATTCTTCGCACTTTTCAACATAAAAAAGCTCTCAAGTGAATTTTCGTTATAGTTAGCCGTTTTTGAGATATTTCGATTTTTAAGGTTCGATGCATTTTTAATTATTTATGATAAAATAACGTTAAAAAGTCAGTATCTCGATAATTTTTAGAAATAGGCTGTGCCTGCAAATATTTTTAAAATTGAAAGCAGAATAAGGTTAAACGTTAATTAGTTGACAGTTAGTTTTGTTGTCTGTTGAAACCTGAAACGTTTTTTTGCAATTGTGAATGCACGAAATTTAGTTTCTTTTACCTGTTTTTTTTTGTTAGTTTTATAAAAATGCCAATTTATTCACCTATCAAGAGTTAGCGGATATTCATTTTGTGTATGGCTTTGTAAATGGAAACGAAGCAGAAGCAGCCAGAGAATCCGCACGAAGATTTCCAAACAGACGACATCCAACTCGCTCAGTATTTGTAAGAGTGCATCGCCAAATGATTGAAAATGGTTTTGGAAATCTCCAAAGGGATCAAAACATAAATGTTCGTCAGCGCAGATTTACCCGTACGATTCTGCGTGAGTTTGATAGAGATCCGACCACAAGTGTTAGGAGAGTTTCTGGTGCCTTGGGAATTTCAGCAAGCCATGTTCACCGTGTTCTTAGAAATGACTATAGACGTCCTTACCATTTGCAACCTGTGCAAGGACTACAGCCATGGGACGGAGAATGAAGAATCACATTTTGTCAGTGGATTCTTGATAGAACTGATAATAATAATGGGGAGTTTTTAAGTAACGTTTTATGGACCGATGAGTCATGCTTCACTAGACGTGGAGCGGTAAATTTTCCTAATCAACATATTTGGTCGCATGGAAATCCGCATGCAGTTCGGGAAAGAAACTTTCAGCATGAATTTAGTGTGAACGTGTGGATTGGTATCTACCGTAATCGACTATTTGGATCCTACCGTTTGCCTGCAAGGTTAAATGCTGCGACCTTCTTGGAATTTTTAAAGGCTGAACATGCAAATATGTGGGATGATATTATGTTAGATTTAAGAAGATTGGTCTGGTTCCAGCTTAATGGTTGTCCAGCTCATTATTCGAGAATAGTTAGAAACTGGCTGGACGAAAATTATCCAGAAAGATGGATCGGCCGTGGAGGACCAGTCGCCTGGCCTCCACGTTCCTCTGACCTAAATCCATTAGATATCTTTGTGTGGGGATTTCTAAAAGAAAAAGTGTACCAGACTCCCGTAACCACAAGAGATATGCTATTAGACAGAATCAGGAATGCATGTGATGAAATAAGGCCTTTGAATAATGCTATACCACGTTCGATCATTCGTAGATGTGAATTGTGTATTGAACAATTGGGTTTACATTTCGAGCAACTACTTTAGATTTTGTATGTTTGTCCTAACTATCCAATAGCATTTTAGTTGTAAAAAATTAATTTAATTTGTAAAAATAATATTGGAAAATTAAACAATTAATATTCTGTTTTTTTTTTGTGTTTATTTGGAGTTAGGAATTATTGCTGTGTTTAAAAACACAATCTAAACGATCATCTTAATTACTTGTAATGCCCAATCGAAAATGTAAAAAAAATATTATTTTCCCATAATTAAAAATGCATCGAAATATCTCAAAAACGGCTAACTATACGTATAACGAAAACTCACAGGAGAGCTTTTTTATGTTGAAGAGTGCGAAGAATCAGTTTTTTTTTATTCAAAAAGCAAAAAATTGCACTGAGAAAAAATTTTCGGTCATTTTAATACACTCCAGGTACAGAAGAGAGCGCCCTCTGGCGGCTACAGTAAAACTATGCCCATGGTTCGTTTTGTCGTACCAAAAAAAAACCTTATATACCAATTTTCACTGTTATACATAAAATATTGTTCGAAATATTTAAAAAAAACTATTTTAGAAAGTAAATTTAAACACCCTGTATTTCGGAAGCCACGCATTTTTAGACCCATGTTTATATAGACTTTATGCATTAATTTTAAAAGTTCTATCGAATCTTAAAGTTATGCAACAATAAACTGAAACACCCTGTATAACGGCAAAATTGAAGTGTTTCTGTATCAACCGTGCGTTGCGTTTTGAAAATATTTGAACATCTGGATATAATAATAATAATAATGTTTATTGTCACAAAATACAGGTAAATATCAAATATTGTGCACAATAAACATAAAGCACCAAGAAAAGTTTGCACTTGTGTTTGGGTTTGTTAAAAAAAAACAATAGTACAGTCAGTGTATGAAAAAAAAACGTTAATACTGCATAATTTGGTGAATTGAATTATTATGGTAATGTCAGGAAAAATATCCAGACAATTATAACTAAAGTAAAAGTATGGATGTTAGTGTAAGTAAAACATTATTGATTTTGATAATGATTTTTCATATCTAAAATTTCGTGGATGGAGCACCTTGGTTGTTGTAAAATCTTTTTTTTTTACTTTTTAAATTATCTATTTGATTTAATTACTTTTAATGACTCTGGTATGAAGTTATAGAATTTGGTCTCAAGAAAAACAGAGATCGTTGTGTAATAGTTTTTGATGTTTGAGGAATACACATTGAATTTTGACTGAATCTTGTTGGGTAGTTATGAATGGTACATTTCAAGTATTTCGAATATTTAATTTAATGTATTAGACCACAATAAAAATAAATGTGTCTGCAATCTAATAACTGAGCCTCCACATATAGAGAATCACTTGCATAAGTAATCTCCCTATGGAGGATCAATTTTAGAATTAATTTTTGGATTACATCAAGCTTTTTGTAATTATTATTCATAACTACCCCCCAAGCCAAAATTCCGTAAAGTAATAGCGGATAAACAAGAGCATAATAAAGATTATATAGATATTTCTTATCCAGAATATCTCTGAAGTACCTGAATTTTGGAATAATACATCTCAGTCTCTTCACAAGGTACTCTGTCTGGGTATCCCATTTTAAGTGTTTATCCAAAATCACCCCTAAGTATTTTATTTTATCGGCTGACTGAATCTCTTTGATACCACTGCTTGTATGAACTTCAAATTTTTCAAATTGTGGTAAGAGCCTGTCGTTAGAAGAAAATGCTATATAGAGTGTTTTGGATCATAATAACGATAATACGAACTTTCATTTGATGTCATAGAAAGCCGTCATTGTTGCTGTTTCCATGTACGCCGTGAGTTGTACTGATTGACATTTTTAGCTTCCGAAGACACTTAGATGAGGGCAAAGTTAGAAGTTCAGGTAATTAACAACATGCCGCTTAGAAAGTTTTGAAAATCAAAGTACTTTCCAAAATAGTTTTAATTTGTCCTAGCTTTATTTGTCGTGGGATTTCGAAATAAACTGCGCATTCGCAATGCCACTTTTTCTCCTCTACAAGATGGTATAAAAAGAATGTCAATATGATGTTTCGACTCTTGTCCTCCAGCATCAACTTCAATATTGGATTTTTGCATAGAAGAATAGAATTTTTAATTCTGATTCCAAAAATATATAATATGTCGTACATGGACATTGCTAAACCTTAGTTCTTTCAAAAAAGAAAAAATAGAATTTCAGTCATTAGTCACAGATAGTCATTTGTTTCGTATACCGCATTTATTGAAAAACCCTGGTTTATTTTCTAGTATTACGAGTATTTAAAAGAGGATTTTAAAATAAATTGTATAATAGCATTGCCACTCTTCCTCCTTTACCAGAGGGCGTAGTTTAATACTCAATTAGACGTTTCTCTGCTTTCGATCTCTATCCTCAACTTCGTTTTTTTTTTCTTTCATGAACTGTCTTGCGAAATTTTGCGAAATCGAACATGTTTTATTCTGCTTTTAGTTATGGATATAATATACTAAGTGACATATAAATCCGAACACCCAGTTTAAATGGTTTTATTTTAATAAAATTTTGTATAAGTACTTAATGAAGCATAATAAGTAAATGATAAAAATTTCAAAATGATTGCACTGCTTTAAAGCCCTTTGACCTTTAATATTGTGTGGATGCACCCTGATGTGCTACGCATTCTCCAACGCGCCTAGGCATGCTTCTGATCAGGTGGTCAATGTCCTCCTGTGGTATCTCATTCCAGGCAACCACCAACTCCTCTCGAAGTGCTTCTAGAGTCTGAGGAGGACGTTGAAAATTGAGCAATCTCCTACCCATCATA